CATAGCCTAATAAGTACATACCATTCTATATTTATTTTTTTTTTATTTTTTATCGCCCGCAAAGACTTCAGATGATTGATTTTTTTTTTTATTTTTTATTTCCTATTCATAGCATTTATTGAAACGCGATTAATCCATCGCATTCCCCGGGGGGGAGTATGTTAAGTTTTCACTTAAAATAATTAATTAATTAATTAGGGAACTTCTATTTTCGTCAAGATAGAGGGATTTCCTCAACCTTGAATCATCCGAGATGCAATACCGTTCCATTTTATTCAAAATAAACGCGTTTTTCTGGTATTGCCCTAAACAGCTCGAAATGAGTGATAAACATTAACGTTTTTTATCGAGTTCTGAAAAACCTCGCCGAGCAAAGCAGGACCCACGAAGAACTGGACACGGGCAGTCTCGCTAGAACTCCGCTCGAAATTGTTTACGATACGTCGAGAGTGATTTTCGCGACGAATTTTCTATTCTCTTTGTTTGATGGAGAAAATAAACGGGTTGCGCATATAGGAAGTTTTCGCTCATTTGTGAGTGCCTCCGGAATTGGATTAATCCACGACACCAACCTAGTCCAGAAGGGGGCCCCCATAGATTCATTACCGGCATCCAGCTACCAGGCCATCATCACCAACTCTCAAGAAGTTAGGTAAGCTGTTTAGGGGCTCGATCTTTGAAGTAGAAGTTAATCGAAACCTCACCGGTTTGCATCTAGGTATGATTATAGATGATTATAGACTTCATTTACCGCTTTTAACGCGCCTTTGGTGATACATACATTTTTTCTCTTCTAAGTAGAGTTTTCGAAGTAGAAAAAGTACAGTGATAATCTGGGACTGCCAGAATTCCTCATTCCTTTGATAATCTGGGACTGCCAGAATTCCTTGTTACAGTGATAATCTGGGACTGCCAGGATTCCTAGTTCCATTACGACAATATATCGATTACAAATTTTGTTCTGTTGATACAGGTTCATCGTCAAAATTCGAGGACGAATGAAAAGCAGGATGGCCGAATTTAAGAGAGTACCGTATCCAGGAGCTACGTACATATAAGCCCTGTATAGTGCTTCTAGATTAATGAGTGTCGATCTATTGATGACATACTGGGTTATGTAAAAGGTGACGGGTATTTTGGGTAGAATTTATCGATGTATGAGTAATATTAAGTAGTTAAGAAGTAGCCGTGATACGGCTAGGTTGTATTTGATACCTATTGTGAATATAGTGGAAATCGTGGAGTATCCAGAGTGTTTTATTCTCATATGTTTCCGCAATTTCATATTCAAATTTCCTCCATCCTGTGTGCTTCTTTTATGTGTTCTTATCCGTTGGATATTATCCGAGATTATAATATAGATTTTTCGGAACTTTTTGGAGTGAAAAATGAGTTAATGCCTCTAATTTTAATCGTTTGGGACGTATCAGTGTACTCGAATAATAATATATGATTCATTCTCATTTTCGATAATGTATGTCAGGTGTCTGACTTGCCTAAAAGAATGATATTACCAACCCTAAAAAAATAGAAGTTTTGCATCGTATAGAAGCTGTTGCGATACTCACTGGGGTATCATAATGACTTCATAAAATATGAATAAACATTCACAGCGGATTTTCCACTGTTTTAATAGTTCCCAACGGGACTGAGCTCATCCTCACATTTACGGTGTCTGGGAGTGTATATAAACTTCGAAACGATGGAAAATATCGCATGGTGAAACTCCCCGACATAAGGTCATATTCTCAGTTCGGGAAAAATTGACACCTGAACGATAATAAGTTTAGATGGTAGAACTGAAAATGAAAAAAATGATATGGTATGAAAATTGTGTTTCTTCTTCTTAGGGTACCATTAACAAAAAATATTATTTTTTTTAAGCAGCAGACTTTTAAAATCGATTTATCTAGAAAATTGTGAGTGGTATCGGAACTAAACTAGAGTACCATTTTTGAGTATAATATTTTAATATTTCCTGATCAAACTGCCGAAAGTTGCATCAACAAATAAGTTGGGGAAAATGTACCCCTAGCCCCACGTATTTCCCATGCCCCTGATCAAAATTTTGCGAAAATTCACATTCAAACCCCTACCTCCTCTCCCTATCCTCTCCCTTTCCTCTCCACTAATATTGATCATTAATAGAGGTCATTAACGATCAATTTCATAAGACATTAAAATTACTCGTTAATACGGAAACATTATTGATAGTTACTTATGTATCAAGGGCGTAAATTAGGCTTTTCTGGGTCGTAGCGTGTAAGTGACATTATTGAAACGGCTAGGTCCTTGAAAGCAAGTTACCGCCGAAAAACATACATTTCATGCACGGCCGGTATATTCGATGATTTTTCATTGTGAATACCTCTTCACCTCTCGAGAACGATAGAAATACATCATTGCTTCAGTGAGTGATATAATTGATGGAATCGACGTTACCATGACAACTCAGTAAATTTTTTGAATCAGGAGTGGACTTCGCGGTAGTTAAGATCATAAACTGACGTTGCGATGTCATGAAAACTACGGGAAAAATTCGTAACTTCTGGCTTCGATTGAAAATAAGACATGTTTTCCCATAGCTTTCGGGTCATTTCAACGTCAGATGATGATCTTGACTACCGCGAACTATATTTGCTGTCAATTAATGTCATCACAGATTACATATTTTTGTTTGGATCATATCATTTTGCATCTCAGAAATATCAAGATAACCGTAATATTAGATAAGGAACCATCACAACTGAAACATAAATACACTACACACTGTTTTACCACTAACCAATCCTACATAATTAGCGAAACACGTGTCAAGGTATTAAAAATCAGTTTTGTTAGTGGTAAAACTGTGTGTAGTGTATAATCGCGCCAAAGGTTCCAGTCTTCGATATATGAAACAAACAAAAATGTCCTGAATTATACAGGTATGTCTATTTTCCACCACCAGCTATGAAACCTACCATTATTTACACCTTTTCGAGGCGTGAAGTCTGAAAGACATAGCCACCTCTGTTATAATTAACCCGAATTCACTGTTTCTATGCGACACTCGCAGGTTAACACAAAAGGTCTGGCCGATGATGGATACCTTTTGGGTCCGAAACATCTCCCCCCTTTCTAGAATTTGAAATTAAACGTTGTGGAGACGACTTGGAGAGTTAATATTTTAACTATTTTGAGATAACATGGACTTCTACAGTAGATAGACTAGTAGGTGTTTATCAATAATGCTCCCATGGTCATGGCTACTAGATTTCAGTTAGAATTGAAAGGAAGTACTTTCATAGTGACAATTCGCTATAGAAAATAATATGTCGCGGTACCTGGCGGTAACAACTTGAACACTTCCGAGCGGTTTGTCTTGATGATATGACCAATAAGCATTGACATCAAACAAATGTGAACCAATCAAAATAAAGTAAACAGTCAGCTTTGACAGCTTTCAACAACTCCGATAGATGGCGTAAGCTTATTTTCCATCGCGAATAGGTTGATATTTCAGTTTCACAGAACTAAAATGTATTAATAGTGGCAAAAAAAATTAATATACACCTTGGTAGTGAAGTATATTATTTCCACGGGACCTTATACCTCTGGGCTGAAGCCTCGGGATATAATCTTGGTCCCTGGGTAATAATGATATTCTTTGCTACCTTGGTGTATAATAGTTATTTATACACCAAGGTATGAAAGATTATCATTATTACCCAGGGATAAGATCATATCCTGAGTCTTCAGCCGAGGGGTATAAGGTCCCGTGGTAATGATATTCTTTACTACCATGGTGTATATTAAATTTGTTCCACCACATGCAATATATTTCAATCATTATCATTTTGTGAAACTGGAATATGGACCTACTGTCACTATGAATGCACTTCCCTTCAATTCTTATTAAAATAATAGCCATGACTATGACAGCATATGTCAAGTCGTTATTAATAAATACGTACTAGATCCGAGTCCCATCTCTGCGGATATCGCATTAGAACAGTGAATTCGGGTTAATTATAACATAGGGGGCTATGTCATTATTGACTAGTGGTTCATTAAATGACGAAAACTACCTTACTAGTAAAAACACACTTCACGCTTTGAAAAGGAGTAAATAATGGTAGGTTCTACGGCTAGTGATGGAAATATAACTGGGTTACCTATACGCTGTGCAGGTAATGAAGTTCTACTTAACGCCGGGTCGTGCGTAATAGTATATTATGTAACAAGTGTTATAAACGTCCTTTTAGTATCGAGTATTTTAAGCTCGAGCGGAGCGAGTGTTCAATAAACGAGTGTCTAGAAGAGTTTATTAACGCGTTACATACTATGCTTTTTCTACGAACTCCGAAAATTACATCAACATACCTGCTATTCCTGCCAACCTACAAAGTAATTCGAAAGGAATAGGAATTGAGAACATAATACATGCAACCAGCGAGACACGTATAAGTGATATTGGTTGTAGATGTGTCCAGTCCATTGCTTACAAACCTTTTTTTCACGTTTATTGTCATGCTTAGCAGCACATGAATAAATAAATTGTTCTCAAAGATGGATGCTTCATTTTTACACTTCTTGGTGTGCAAATGCCATAACATTCTCTTCGATTTCACTTTCGTCTACATTTCGCATATATTTTTAATAAAGAATTCTGATACAAACGAATATTGTTTGAATAATTCTGATACAAAATAATAACAGTTGACAGTTGATACAATCGACAGACCAGACATGTCTCAAATTACTGAAGCTGTGTCTAATGAAATGTGTTGCCATGGTAATGTGTTTAAGAAATCGTGTTGCCATGGTAATGTGCTTAAGAAATCGTGTTGCCATGGTAACGTGTTTAATATTTTGAATAAATCACAGATCGACAATCCGTGATTGATCGATCATTTAGCGTGGTACATATCCGTACGCTAAACGCCATTTTAGTTATGTGAGTAGAAAAATAAATGAATGATCGTGGCGTTCTGTTGCAGCCCTGGCTGCGCTCGCAGGCTCGCAACTGCGCACCTCCAACTCGCGCAGCCCGCAGAACACGAACCAACAGACGCACGAGATGACAGTGCCCAACGAGCTGATCGGCTGCATCATCGGCAAGGGGGGCACCAAGATAGCGGAGATCAGACAGATCTCGGGGGCGATGATCCGCATCTCGAATTGCGACGATCGCGACACTGGTGCTTCGGACAGGACCATCACTATCACCGGCAATCCGGACGCGGTCGCGTTGGCCCAGTATCTGATCAACATGAGGTGAGTGAGTTTTGCTGATAGCGGCGTAATTTCCGGGATACTATTAATCGATTTATTGATCCTCTGGAATTTGCGAGAGTCGAAGTACAAAGCACATGAAAACTTGAATCAGTATAATAGGATATAATAGGTACTGGATTATTACTTTAATTTCAAGATTTATAGATGCTGATTCATTAGAACCTTTGGCCGTTGGTAATACAAATCAAGTGTTGAAAGTGGGTAGTTTTATGGAGGTAAACACTGTGTCCATAAAGTAACCCATTCTTCTGTTCTGCAGGTAGTTTGTGTATTTCAGGATGGCGCTTGTAATATGAGGTCGTGTGGTACTTTATTCAAAACGCGTTTCAAGCATCTACAACAATTTTCATCTAAAACAAAATGGCGGATGATAATGTTTTGAATCTCATACCAAGATTTCTCTGACTAAATTTCAATTCAATTTGCTTCATTGTCAGAAGAAAACATTCTAATCCACAAAGTTCGGTTGATAACGTGCAATTCTGTATTCTTCAATTGTCTATTAACATCTACAAAAGTTTTATATTCTGTTGAATGTCTTAACGGAACCATCTGGGAAAAAGATAATAAACATTTTTCTTGATTTTGAGCCGTTCAAAAATTAATTAAGCAGGTTACTTCATGGATACAGAGTATATGAAAAAAAGTCATGCATTAGTATGAATTTGAGAAAACAATAATAATTTCAATATAAACTGAATTTTTGATATTTTTTTATGGTCAATTAGGATATTAAGTCTCCTTTATATTCGATGAATATGTATTGTTTTGTATAGTTACTGATTTCAAGTAGATAAAAAAGCGCAATGATCAATTGGTACAGGAAATAGAAATACCATTATTGCCAGTATTTCTTTTATTTGCAAAATATCATCAATATATTGAATCCTATCTGATTCGATCAACTATTTGTTCTTTTCACCTGAATTGCAAATGATATTGGAGTTGGCAAAATTCGATCTTATATTTCTGATCGTGATATTACCAAATTGCTATATCCAGAACGCAGTTTATATTATGGAGAATATTATTTTGAGTTATAGACAATACAATTCTTATATTCACCTGACCCTCCTATGTTCATCAGTAATGTTGTAAAGGTACCAAATATTTCGTTCCAATATCATTGAATTATTTTGGTAACCAAATGAGTGCACCCTAAGTTGCCCTTTCCTTCAAACAGCTTCTTATTCTTTCATAAATGTGTGCGTGAATTGATGAATGCGAGATTGAGAAAATATATGCACTTTTTTCACAAAGTTAGGAAGGTTAAATGGAAATGAAGATCTGAAGAAATCCATGGAGCAGCCTTGAGGAGCAGATGGCCGAAGACAGAGCATTTGATATGTTCTTGGAATTTCGATTCCGATCCCGTTTGATCCTTCACCGAATTCTGAATACAATCCCATACAGATTGGTTTTTGTTGTACCTTCATTTTCTGTTTCTGTTGATATACGCCTGGAATCTATCCAGATAGTCATCACTGCCACTTGAAAATAATACTCAAATTCAATACACAAACCAGAATTCGTTAAGCAGTAATAATCAAAAGAATAATATTCAGAAAAGACCTGATACGTCTTTTCCCAACTAAATAATAATAATAAAAATAATTGTCTGTTGGTTTAAATTCTGGCCTAATAACACATATGCAACATGTTGATATAGAAATGAATCGTTTCAAATTCAAATTTATTTTTGTGATGAATATTTTCCGTACATATGCATATGTATCTATTTAGGTATTATTATTGATGATTTATTTATTTATTTATTTATTTATTTTATTTATTGAACAAATAACTTCCAGACAGAATAGGCTCTGGTATAAGGAAGTACATAATTATATACCTATAGGTAAACATAGCATCATTCAAAATATATCAACAACTGTAAATTGGCAAACAAAGAATAATATTTGTAAAAAAAAAATGGCATGATTAATTTTATGAAGTCCGCTGAGAAATAATCAGTTTTTTTACTTCATTTTTGAATATACCTATATTTCTGCAATTTTTTATATTATCAGGTAGTTTATTGAATTCAGTTAAGGCTGAATGAGTGAATCTTTTTTGTCGATGTATTTATGATTTGTTCTGAAAACTACTGTTATAGGTACACAAAATCTTTCTGTGTCCATTCTGAGATTCTCCTATTATCCAAGAATTTGATATGTCAACATTCCTGATGTTTCCCAATAACACATTATTGAATCCATGTTTTACCTCTTCATGTATCATATTATGAACTAATCTCAGCGTACATAAATAACAAGTAGCTTAGTGAGATCATAGCCTCGTATATAACAAGATTTTTACGAGTTTGTTCAATTCTGTAATGACAGAAATATACTTGTTATGTATGTATTCTGCTTATCTTCTAAATTCACAAAGATGATCCACCAGAGCTTGTGAATTTGAAAGATCTGTTTGATTTAATCCTGAACAGCGCCTTTCCAGTGAAACATTCATCTATTGATCCATATCTATCAGTATGCCTCAAGTACCCGTAACCTTGAATGCCAAGTCCACATTCATCTCATTCGGAGTTTGTATATCCTGACGTACTCGGTGACGTTTATTCGGCGGTTTATGGTATGAAATAATCACTGTACATCTATGACACTACCAGCAATCTGAATGAAACTAGGAATATCCTCCAGTATTAATAGAATGCAAAAGAATTAGTTTGTTCTCATAATTATGATGGATGTAATCGATTAGATTATTATTTTTGTCGACAGTTCAATTTAATAGTACATCAGGAATGTTATTGGTCATACTGAACTAATTAATTTCACGCCATCAAGGTGGTTTCATAAGCTGAACTCCCAATTCCGTGGCACATTTTGATAAACTCAGCCTAGTAGTTTGTGCTCACCAATCAACGTACATTAATATTTTATCAATAATTTTTTCTCCAGTTTTATTATTATCAGCAGAACGACATTAAGTCCGTGTAAAGCAGCACGCTGTATCTCTGTATTCCATCATCTGATATGATTACAAATGAAGCAGATGAGTTAACGCGATATGTCGTTATTGAAGCTCGTAAACGCAGACGACAAGCGAATCGAGAGACATTGACTTCCTTAGTATGCTCACTGTATCTCTTCACTACTTCTCAGTATTCTATCAATGATGTGGTAACAAGGGAAGCAGATATGTTCTCTTGGTTACGTTATCAAACGATATTAAAGCACAGACTATCGAGATTCATCGGATTTCATATTATGCAAATTATATCTGTTGAACAACTAATATGGTTGCAGATGGAGCATATAATGATTTGACAGTGACACAATAAGGCGATATCGAAACCTGTGAAATGCAGATAGCAGGTGAATAGAGGTATATCGACTTTCTTAGTATACATACTGTTTCTCTATGTTCCTCTTATAAGGTTGCAGTGGAATCAGATAAGTTATCGAGTACGTTATAACTTCATATAACTAATGCCTCAAGTTTCACTTTCCAAGGGGTAGATTTTCCTTATCAACTTCTAGAGAGTTGTACAAATAAATTGCTTCATCTTTTTTTCAATCGGTCACAGATAAAGCGTGAGATAATTTTGGACCACCGTATATTTTTCGTTGGCTTTCTTCTTGGAATTGTTGATGGGTATTGAACAAAGACATATTTTCACTTACATGAGAGCTTTTTTTGTCGAAGTATACTTGATATTTCAATGAGAATTTTGTTGTCTGGAATTTGAACGAAAATGATTGCATTCGACATAATTAGTGAGAGTTGCTGGGCTGTGTGCGCGTGAATATATACCAAAAAAGGGAAGATTTGTATTTCGTGCAAGAAATTTATTCAAAATATTCGTAGCAGAGCGCTTTCGACTGTTGAGTCATCATCAGTGCGTACCTGTAAGTAAGTAATCTGCTTTGAGCTATAGGAAATAAATTGTAATTGAAAATTCTAAAAAAAATTTTCGAAAACATTTTTGAAAAAATATTTTTGAAAAAATCTTTTTGGAAATTTGTTTAATATTGAAGAAGTAAAAAATAAAAAAATAAATTGGTGACTTGCTACTTTTTTGATGAACTTTTGATTTGAAAAAGACTATAATAAAATCGAAATTTGAAATTGTTAAATATGAATTTGGAAATTGATAAAAGTGAGGTTACTTACTCGTCAGGTTAACAGGGAAATTCGTCCATAAAATATCTTTGGTCCAGTTTAAAACTAAAAATACGTTACAAACAAATTGAAATGTGTTTCCCAAAAGGGGGTAAAATATGGATTACATCTTGTTAAGCAGCCATTGTCGCTGCGACATGTCGTGTTGAAGTGATCTTGATGAGTGACGGACCTTTAATTGTCATTGAACTTACTGAACTAATGGATGCAAATTTGAAGTTGACATGCATGACATGACATCCAAGACATGACATTTGTCAAAGGAAAGTCAAGAATGTTTATTATGAAATAGTGAAGATAAACATTATAAGATCGTGAAGAAATAACCCAAGTCCCTAAGGAGCGAATGTTTTGTTGGTCTAATGGGAACCTAACTAACATGTCACTCAATAGTCTTGTTTATCAAAATGCAACAATTAAACAAGTGAATACACCAGGGAAACCTAGTTGAGCCTAATGAGAGCTCACATAAGTTACTCCAGATGTAATCAAAAGTTGAACAAATTCAACTGTCTGACAACCTATTAACACAAAAAAGGTTTGAGAATCCGGTTTGTGACAAGTTATTCTCAGAAATCTTTGTGAAAACTCGAGCCTCCAACTGCAAAGGAAGTGAAAAGTCTAATGAGAACTTACACAACTCATGAAATTGGAACATCAAGAAACCACTCCAACTCTGGAATATGAAAAGACAAGACATAATTTCCTGAAGGCAACAAAACTTGAATTATAAATGTTGAGTTCAATTCGACAAAAAAAATGCTTGCGTGTAATTTGGTAAAACAATCGAAGAAATGCGTGACTCACATTATTGTTGATGGATTTTTCTATGTACAAATTTACAACATTCAAATTTTCATTCCTCTGTATACATCATGAGAATTAATTAAAAACAAATTTTTTATGTTTTTCGTGCGATCAAATTTGAGTTCAGAAAAAAATCTTGAAGATAAAGTTTAGGCTCCTCCACCATTTTCATGACGTACTATTTAGAAAAGCCATGTACGCACAGCTGAAAATACCGTTTTACGCTAGTACAGTGTTACAAGAATTTTCGATTAATCTAAGTCAGCAATGGTACCTGAAATGACGTATTCAACCCAATAGTATGGGTTGATATTGGATTATTTTTTAAAATTATATACCGAATATCTGATGAAATAGGAATTATAGACGAAACATAAATATTAGAATTAGTGGAGTAAAATCCACCGAAAAAGTCGCTCCGTTCTCGAAAAAAATTTTTTCAAGGTATAACCAGTTCCGACCTTCAAAATATAATGAAGTACATATTTTTCTATCAGAATATCATTAGACGACATTTTTGAGTGGGGACGAACTTTTTTATTTAGAAAAAACTGAAAAAATAAAGAATTTCCTAAAACACAGATTTTGAACTTTATCTCCTCGTAACTCTAAAACTACAATAGGTATGGAGATCATTTTTTTTTTAATAGAAAACGAATTCTTTTCTGCTTCTCACGATGGTATGATTACAGTATAAATTATCATCAGTTTTTTGTAAATTGATTGAGAACGCCAGATATCACTTTTCATGTTATATTTTTTTCAACAATCGACAAACTTTTTTCTTGTCGATTTTTTTTTTATATATGCAGCGAATGAAATGTTGACAAATAGTCATGAAAGTTTTTGAAATAACAGAAATTTGTATATGTAGTATAGTTTTCGAAATATGATTTTTCAAAGATGTAGGTACGCATGGCATGAATATGCCTTTCGCGACAAGAGCGTGTTGGCGCGACTATAGAGCGTAGTTATAGGTTGTAGGGCAGTATGCAACAATCTGTTGAAGATGCAGTGTATCATTTGCGAAAAGAGTGTATCATATAATGATAAAAATATTACAAAAAATCCACGGATACAAGGCCTGCTCTCGTTATTATCAGCAGCGGAAAGAAGAAATGATATTTGTGGATCCCGTATTCTTATGCGAAGAGAGCTGATTCTGTCTGGGAAAGAAAAAATTATTTACCATAATGAATGTAGAAAAAGTTACACCAGCATGCACAATATTCAAATATTGCCGAATTTCACTGGTTGCCAAAAAAATACAGAAGCGGGACCATCAACTCGGAATGCAAATGTCATTTTTGATATTGGAAGAATGTGTATCATTTGTGATAGGGGCGGAAAGAGGAAACATCAGAAATTAGTATCTGTTCAAACAGGTACCTACCTATGTGAAAATGTTTTCGAATTATAAGGACATTCGAAAATATTTCATTGAGATCTCAATATCATTGAAGAGTTGAAGAATAAGGATAATAATATATCATTATTCAATAATATTATATTATTTGAACAATCTCTAAATAATTTTCATTTGAAATGAACGAACTTTAGAAATCTCATTATTCATTTGCCATATCAAAAAAAGCATACTATGAGTAGAATATCAATTATTATAAACTGATCTGAATGTCAATCATTCGGGAAATGAGTATACATCATGTCGTGACGATTTGATTGAAAATATAGATATAAAAGCACATGTTTTATTTTCAAATTATATATAATGTGTAGAAATATTCAAACCCAAAATTACGAATTAGGATGAATACAAAATTATGATTTATAGTTGATTTTATTTAACGATAGCCATTTTAAAAAATGCTATCGAATTATAGGAACTGAAAAGAAGTTTTGATAAAATAGTTGACTCAGCAAAGAAACGGAACGATATAAATATGATTGGGAAAATTTCTGGTTATTTGCTCATGATGCAAAGTATCACAAGTCTTGTTGCAGTCAATATATTGCCCCAAGGAATATTAAATCATTTATAAATCAGTCTCAAGAGAAAGAACATAATCAATTATATCACCAAGACATTCAAGAAAATAGTGAAGAAAATTTCGCATAACAATTTAAGTCGTCAGGATCCAGTAGCTCCGAAGAAGAATCCGAATTTTTCAACGATTCAAACGTAGAATCCGAAATGCAAATTCTTCATAAAGCTGCAGGAATAAACACATTTTCAATCAATTATTTCTAGATGTATATATCAATTGAAAATATGGTATTCATCCCTTTTACCATATACCCCAACTGAAAATTTTTGTAGGAAACACGAAAAGGATTGTGTGTTTTTACTAAGCAGGAACCTATTCCAAATTCTGTAAGAAAAATCCTGGCTATTCATTTTGCCGATAAAAACTGCACAAATAATAAGTGTATATGCATGAAAGGAGGGTTGAATTGTTCTAGTGAATGTAAATGTAGAGACTGCCAAAATACATTCAGGGATCCAGTTGGGCCAGAACCAGGAAATGAAGAAGAATACTAAAATGAATATCATTTTTTGTGTGATAGTTTGGTTTAAACTCGATTATATTTTGTAACTTATGAAATCGTTTCCATTATGAAAAATATGAAATGCAGTATTATTTTCCTCTATACTTGCATCATTGACCTTGAAACCATCATAAGAACAATTTCTCAACACAACATTGTGCACTGATGGAGCGGGTATTGGGAGTGGAGTCGTTAATCTATGGGAGTAGGCACTGGTATTGCGCTGAGCGCGAACAGTTACCGGAGGCGCGGAATTAGCATGTTTTTAAAAAATCATACCTTCAAAACTATTTCATATGTATCAAATTTTTTCAATCTAAAAACTTTTTCGACTCATTATCTCAATTTTCTTCGCTGATTGTATATAAAGAATTCGACTAATAAAAAAGTTTTTCGATCAGTGAAAATTTCATCTCACGGTTTTCACTATTTCATATTCTCAACTTATTCAGAGAAAAACCCGATTTCATTACATCATTCTATTGGCATGATGAGAAGCGCTAGATTATCTCCTTTCGATCAAACGAAAAAGCAAATCAATATCTCAAGTAGTTCTCGAAATATTGAATAATATGTTTAGAAAAACACGATTTTCGAATATCCAACTTTTTTCGTATTTTTTTGAATAAAAAAGTTCGTCCCCACAGAAAAATGTCGTCTATCTGGACTATGATGGAAAATCACATAAGGAACATCATCTAATAGGTCCGATTTGGTTATACCTCGAAAAAAAAAAACGACACATTTTATCCCCGATTTTACTCCTCTAAATAGTATAATAATATACGATAATAAAATTATGGGTATATACAAAATAACAATGATGCTGACAGCTCATTTTTTATGTTAATTATTCTAATTTCAATTCCTGTTGAAATATTGGAGAGATATTTCAGTTTCTTCTCGAAATTGATAACTTAAGTCTGGCAACTGTGGTTATAAACCTGATTTACACCATACAGAGATGTATTTTGTTTACATTTTTGTTGAAGGTTTGAGGTTAGACCATACTGACAGCTTTCTTCTTATTCTTATTCTCGGGTACCTAGGCGTGAAGGAGATAAGTCAAGAAACTTACCACACAAATATCCCCCAATCTCACTAGATAGATAGATAGTACGTCATTCGTCATAGTCTGCTTCATTGATAATACTGAATACCTGTATTCTGAATATTAAAGTAATTTGAATAATTTGAATAGAAATTTTAGACATCAGAAACCTAATACTAGGTTGTCGAATAATAATTCTGTCGAAGGAATCTTCCTCATGTCTCCACTGGAAGACTATCAAAATCGTGACATTTTCACATTATTAGATTATATGATTTCATGACAACAGGAGATTGATCTCAGTTATGAATGTTATGATTTTCTAAAATTTTTTGTGGTTACAGTATGTTAGAACGATGAATTATTTTGCATAGTGAACATCCTTATTTACCATTAGCGTCCGATGATGAGGGTGACTACACCCTAAAATCTCGTTTACAAATGATGCGATTTTCTTGAAATTTTGATGGTGATTGTATGTTGAAAAAATAACATACAATCACCATCACAATTTCGATAAAATCTCATCAATAATAACCGAAATTTTAGGGCGTAGTCATGAAAAGCGGGATTTTGAGTTTTCCTTGAGATCCTGAGAATATGAATTGGGAGGTTCTTGGGGATGCTGATTTTGAATCTGATAAGAAAAGTCATTCAAAATGAGCCCTAATATCCTTTTCCCGAATAAAGGCCGTTTTTGTACGCTTCAACATCGCACACCAATGCTGAATGAAACTGTTCACTCTGCTAAATACTTCTTTGTTCTAATATACAATCACCACCAAAATTTCAAGAAAATCGCATTATCAATATATTAGGGTGTATTCATGAGGAGCGGGACACACTGTATACACTGTTGATATATTTTGTTGTGCTAGTTGCGAAAAATAAGCCAATAACACCGTGTCCGAGAAAGAACTACAAGTCCTTTTATCTTCCATTCGTTTTCGCGATTACGTTAATTACTAAACAATTACTAAATTGACAATTTTTGAAAATCAAATCACTCAATCAGACTGACAGATATTCGTATAAAGTAAAGATGCTGATTCTTCCTTTTTCCTGTCACAGAAAAAAATTGTGTTTTATACACGGGAAAAAAAATTTATTTCAGCTCACGGATTTTTGTCTCTCTGCGCTACGCGTTCCGTAAAATAAATAACTATTTGCATCCTATCAAATAAAATACAATATCCGATTTAGCCATCTACATATAATGACCAATTGAATCGACAAGACCACGGGTGAAACCGTTTTTGTTCAGAAAATATCCAAAATCAGGAAGAAACTTAACAAATGAAACACATGATTCAAGAATATCCCCCCTAATCGTGTATAATGCTGAGAAAAATGATTATTCATGTCGAAAAATTAATTATGAATGTGGTCTTGGACTAGGTAGGAAGGTAACGAAACCGGTAACCACCAAAAATCTTATCCCCCTTCAGAACCCCCACCTCGCCCCCATCACATCTCATAGCTAAACACATCCCGTACGTTCTCTGTCTTTTGTTCCCTAGTGTCGAGCTGCAGAAAGCTAACCTCGAGGCCCAAAATTCCCCAAACACAGGCGCTGGCACCGCCAGCCAGTCCTCCACCGCCTCCACCAATGCCGCCTCATCCCTAGCCAGCGCCATCCCTATCGCCCAGCTGCTCTCCAAGCCGGGGGCGCTCAACGCGCTGACCAGCCTCAGCGCCTTGGGCGGCCTCTCGGAGTTGCTAGGGGCGGCCGCGAATCAGGGTTCCGCCCCGGCCGTGCAGACGACGGGCGTGCACCGCCCGCACAAGGGCAGTTACGCGCCTCGGCTGAGGTCGCCGGGCGGCAACGCTTCAGAGGGGTCGAAATTAAAGAGCGAGCGCAACAAGTTCAATCCGTATTGAGAACGCGCACGCGTGGCGGGCGGAAGCTTTCATCGGGGTTTCTTTTCGGATTAGTCGTCTAAGAGCTCGTGAACCTTTTATACAGTGTGTCCATTTAGTGCATAATTCTGTTATATCTCGAAAGCCATAACCTATAGAGAACAACTTTGTAGAAAAAACTTTTTCAGTTACTTACTACTTGAAAATATTTTCGAAATGGGAACCTTCAATAAGGAAAGAAATTTGTTCTCAGAAGTTTTTCTCTAGTGATAATGGATTTCGAGATATTGAAAAATTACGCACTAAATGGACACACTGTACGGTTTGTCTGTGAGGCTAAAAATTTGTATAGTGATGGGTCAAAAGGTGTTAATTAAGTAAGAAAACCATGACCTGGCAGGCTTCACCCTTGCACTTCACCATCTCCTATATTTTTTAAAATTTAAAAATTATTGATAAAATAAACTTGGCGCTGTAAACTTGTAATTTAATCATGATGTCATTTAGATATTGTAGAATGAAGAAAAAAATTGACAGCAGAATTGATGAGCAGAAGAGGGTGCCAGGCGAGTCCAAAAGTGGACATTTCGCTTGATTTTTGATAATAAAGTTATATTAATAGATACATTGTTGTTACTGGTAAAATAATTCCAATTCATCCCCTCAGAAGGGTAGTTTATTCTAGCGGTTTTTCATGAATCCTTGCTGAGCGAGCATTTCTGGTCAGAAGTTTTGTTTCAAATTACATATTTGAACATCTTATATGATTACCGCCTAGTTGCAATTTGAATAACAATCTTGATCTAGTCCTTAAGAGGGGTAGATTATCCTCGATGTTTTTCAGAAATCTTTGCTGACCGAGCATATCTGGTTTGAATTTTTGCTTCAAATTACATATTTGAAGATCTTATATGGATATCCAGTTGCCACCAAGGCAATAATAATAATCCTCCCCCTAAGAGGGTTAGTTTATTCTTGATGTTTTTCAAAAATCCTAGCTGACCGAGCATTTCTGGTTCGATTTTTTCCTTCAAATTGCATATTTGATCATCTTATAAATACATTCAGTGCAACCAGTGGATCGAATTCATTCTATGCGAAAATTCGAACCAAAAATGCTTGGTCAGCAAGGGTTTTCGATAAACAGCAGGAATAAACTACCTCTCTTGAGGGGTGGACCAAAATTATTGCCTTGGTGGCAACTATATATCCGTGAAAAATCTTCAAATATGTAATTTGAAGCAAAAATTTGAACCAGAAATGCTCGGTCAGCAAGGATTTTTGAAAAACAACAGAAGTAAACTACCCCTCTTAAGGGGTGGATCAAGATTGTTCATCGAATGGCAACTAAATAATCATATGAGATTTTCAAATATGTAATTTGAAACATAACTTCAAACCAAAAATGCTCGCTCAGTAAGGATTTTTGAAAAACCGCTACAGTAGACTACCCTTCTGAGGGGGTGAACTGGAATAATTTTACAAGTAGCAACTAATTATTCAGTCAAATACCTGTATCGAATATGAACGAAAATGTCCGGTCAGCAAACTTTAATTTTGGTCAGCAAATTATATTTCCCCCACTTTTGGACTCGCCTGGCACCTACTTCTGCTCATCAAAATCGCATGTCAATTTTTTTCTTCATTCTACAATATCTAAATAACATCATGATGAAGTTTCAAGTTTACAGCGTCAAGATTATTTTTTTAGTAATTTTCACACTTCAAAATATATGGGAGATGGTGAAGTGCGAGGGTGAGGCCTGCCAGGTCATGGTTTTCTTACTTAACACCCTTTGATCTATCACTATACAAATTTCTAGCCTTACAGACAAACCGTTATATGGAAGGTTCACGAGCTCTCCAGCTATAGGTTCGTAGGTTAGTTGAGGACGTGTTGTTGATTCATTGACTTTATACGGGAGCGCGGTCGTTTCGAGTGGTTGCTGAAGACTTTGGTCTATGGTGGTGCAGTACATTTTTTGTTATGTTTTTATGGATACAGAATGTTCCAGATGATTTGGAGATATTTGCTCGCAGAAAAGAGGGGATTATTGCTTTTTTCCTGTTGAATAGAATTTGAGGAAATTTTGTATACCGACTGAACTTTGAGTGAGCATTTTCTCATCTAAAGAATCCTTTACCAACCCTTCTTGCTGTTTAACTTCCATAATTTCAGTAGCTTTCATCACTGGAATGAACATTTTCAAGAAAATAAACTACTGTCCGAGGTGATAGGAATGTTGAAACTTTGGAATCTTGTTTAAAAGATACCAAAGGCTGTTTGTTGATGTTTCTTGTTTTTTTTTTCTATTATATTTTCAACTGAATCACAGTTTAATTTGATAATCATTTGGCTCTGCTTCAAAATTATCATACAGAATGATTAGATATGCTGCAGTAAATTTGATAATACCTCCCAGAAAGATTTTTGTCTTTTCGTAGAACTGCACGACCAAAGTCAGTTTTGCAAAAAAAGTCGTATGAAGTCAATGGTTTTTATATAATTTCTTTATGAAGTTTTCATTCATATTTCTTTATACATCTTATTATATACTGAAATGTTTTTATTTTATGTACTAGAAACTTAAGAGTCGACTTTTTGATTTACATTATTTCCATTAAAATATACAAGTATGCAATGAACAGTTACGTTTTTATAAAACTTTGAAACTGAAAGATTTTCGTGATTTTTTTTTAATAGCAACATTTTTAGTAATGTAATTTCATACTTGAATATTTCAATCCATTTATTTCTGACCAAAGCCGTCTTTGTATCTTGAAATCTTCAAATGCTGTATAGTTGGTTGAATCTCTCAGCTCATCTTTGAATGTTGTAAATATTTTGTTTGATTATAATTGGATAATTTAGATATAAGCTCAAAATTGAACTACAGGGTAAACCTATTTTAACGAAATATTGTTTTCCATGGAATTCAGCGTTGACAAGTATATTCATTTCAATTTTGCCAATTATACAGTCTCTAAAAACCGAATTTTTCGAATGAAGATGTTTTTTATATTGACGTTCATTTTTGTGTTGTAATATGTGAATATGATAATTGATAGAATAGTTTTCTACAAGTTTATGGCCTCATATAGTAGGCAGCTTGTTGATTACATATCAACAACATCGGTAATTGGCATTCTAATTGCTTTGCTTTAAGAATGAAGCTATGAAGTCCTATTTGGCTGAATCTCCTTTTCAAAAAAAATGTGTATTTGAATCAGTGTAAAAAACGAGCAATTCAAAAACTTTTCTAGGATTATGCTCTTAATTTCGTTTCTTTTCTCTATTCACAATTGCACCGTGATTGAAATATTTGAATGGGTTTTCATAATTTGGCATTTTCTACAAAGCATAATTCAATTGTCGGTATGTCACTATGTTTAGAAATATCGATGTGTAAGTTAATTATATATATATACTTTAAGTTATTCATTCTGGAGTGTAATAATTGTTTTGACTGATTAGTTGTAGAGTTAGAAACTTCTTTATATTATGATTTGGACAATAATTTCTTATTTGATTTATCTTTCTCAGATAGGTATAACAGTAGGAACATGGAGTAACAGCATATCCAATGGGTTCGTTTTGTTCAGAATGCCATCTTGAAATATTGAGATATCAATTTTTTTTTGTAATGATTTCATATCCACTACCAGTATATTGCACTTCTTCCTCTAAATAATTTTCAAATTGAGAATCGAAGAATGTTATAATTTCAAATATGGTTTGATTAATTGCAATTTGAAGAAATTTGTCATATCTGTATGGAATGAGATATTTCAGTTTCTGAAAGCACAATGAGACATTTCGTTTTGACAATAATTTCGGTATATTGATAATGAGTTTCAATAAATATTCAAACATTGTTGAATATGTCTAATGTAATAGCTATATATTCACAATGTTCTTCAAATATGCATTCGCTCCGTGTTCCCTAGAAACAGAATTAATAATCATCATCACTTAACTCAAAATTTGACAAAATTGTCAAGCTATTAATAGTTTTGACAGGGTAATAGCCTTTAACTTTCAATCATTCTCAAAATGGGACTATGAGGACCTGAGAAATCATAGTAGCATATAGTAATGAATCTGGTAGGCATATGAATTCTTGAAATACAGCTATATGGTATGTTTTATGAAGATAAGGAAAAGTTGGACCTTCTACTCTAGAAACTAAACAATCAGAATGATTTTTCACTCTTGATTAAATCAGACTTAATTATTTAAGGTCATTTAATATTAGTATTTTGCTTATTGACTGCAAATATGATGTTCATTGTATAAGATTGTATAGCAACAAGTACAATACAATTTATGTGTGTAAATGAGTTTTTTCATTTATTTTAGATGCGGATTATTAAATTACGTTGTTGAGGAAATTTGCATCATCTGCAATTACTAAACACATGTGGAAACATTTTATTCACCTCAGTTCATTAGACTCATGTTTTCAGTCATCATTTTATAGATAATGTACTAGACAAACATTGAGACAAAACACCTAATCTTTCAGTTTTCTTACATCAGGGATGACTGAATCATCAACTAATTCGTTGAACTAGAACGTTTTTGTGTTTCATAGTGTGTTTTAACAATATATTTTTTTGTAGTTTACATGTTCCACTAGATACAAGAACTATTTTGTTGTCTTATCATTGTATTCATGTGACTTATTTGGAATCAAAATGACCCGGCAAACTGACTTGATATGTTCAACGAACAATATTAAAAATATATCCTGATGAATTAAGTAGTTACCTTAGGCCATAGTTACCTCGTTTGTGTTTGCTCTACTGCTAAACTTGATTTTTTTATATGACTCTCTGTTTACATCATGCCATGAACAGAGAAAACTATGGGAACAAGATCAACTTTAGCAAGTTTAGCAACACAAACGAACAGACCTCTTGTAAATTTCAAATGTTATCTATTCTCGTGACGACTGGAGTCTTGTCATAATTAGAGCACATAATTTAATGAGCAGTATGAAAGTTGGTGAAGTGTTTGC